GAAATTGTCTTTTCAGACACGGAAGAATAAACACGTTCATAACATAACTTTCAAAAACTAACTATCAACGTATTTATACGACGATCTGGATTCTTTTTATATCCGTCTGAGATTGATACCATTCCAATTGTCAACTCATACGTCTGGTAGAGGCGTTAGCCACCGCTAAGGTACTTCAAGGTACCTCAGTTTCTATGTTACTATATCAAAAACAAATAAGAAAAATCGTCTGAAATTAAAACGTTTTTCCCAAAATAATTGGCATGGAAGGTGATAAAGCCGAAACACATTTAGTATAGTAAAAATAAATATTTCCGAGTGGATATTGTATTAATTTATTTTTTTTAGAATAACAATTTTTTTCTAGATAAAAATCCTACGCGTCCTGGGTAAACGATAACCTACATCCGAAAACAAGTTTCTGATCAAAAGGTCTTGAGAAGCGTGGAACCACCTCTTAATTGCTGGTGTTCCCAGGTCCACCCTGAGTCAGGGTGATAGTACCTGTTAGTGTGCCAGCTATGGGCAAATAGTTAATAGGGTATTTTGGCTTATTTTGTTTTACGGCATATCAATCAAAATTCTAATCTGCAAAATGATTTCTTACAAAGAATACATATTCTATTCATATAAATCTATCCTAAAAATCTTGTCGGTATTAAATAACTCATTGTGGTGTTGCTATGCCATAAAGCAAAATAAACCAAAATTCTGATCTACAAAATGAATACATTCTATTCATACGAATCTATCCTAAAAATGTTGTCGGCATTAAATAACCCATCGTGATTGATATCCCGTAAAACAAACTAAACTAAACGTATCTAAACCAAAGAATATATATTCTGTTCATACGAATATATTGTAAAAATCTTGTCGGTATTAAATAACACATTGAGGTGTTGATATGCCGTAATAAACCAATCTTTAGCTGGGTAGAGAAATATTTCAATTCTTTCTTTCACTTATCAGCCAGGATAGGTCTTCACTCAAAGATGTTCCTTGCCATAAATGTCTTTTGGATCTCAAGCCCTCCTTAGACACCAAGTGGAACACATATATATTAAATTATTCAATTCAATATTTATTACTAAAGTTGCAGGATTTATTGATTTGTTTTTATGGTTTATCGACCCTTTAGTGGTTATTTAAAGCCGAAATATTGCAAGAATAATTCTTTCTTTGGCCTATCATGATGGTTGGTTGAAAATGATAAATGGGCTTTTACTTATTGTTGAAAAGCTCCATCGAGTTTTTTAACAATGTTAACCAAAAGTTTATGCAAATTATTAACATCGTTCCTTAACTTTTGTCCAGTAGATTATTTCCTTTGTTCGATTTAATCTTTATTTTAAAAAAAACCTATTATGTAAATTTTTGTAACTTTGTATAATATTTATGCATTACACCGGTAAAAATTTAATTGCTAATCATGCATTACTTTTTAATTAATGCACATATTTATGTCTTTGTAGTTTCCGTTTAATATATTATGGCCACTACTGTATATATCTGATATTTTAGGCATTTCTAAACTGGTAGGACGCTATGATTGTAATGCGTATGTTGATATACCGTTGACGAAGCTATTTAAGTAAATAACATAAACACTTAGGTTAATATTTTGGTTTCATAGCATCTTCTGGTATTGGCTAAAACTAGCCTTGGGTTGGGTGGATGAATTTGTTTAGCAATATATCAATCTCTATGGGTTATTTAATGCCAAAATCTAAATAATTTAAACTCAGTTTTGTGGATTCAACTAAATTTCCACTATTGCGCATATTAATTAAAATAAAACGAATAATTTCGTTATTATTTACATTTTTTTAAAAATATTTTTCCAATCAAACATGACCCAGTACAAAGGTTAGTACTTCGTATATGCATTCCACGAAGTTGTTCTTTGCAGCTTGATTCCAGATTCTCGACTGGATTTAAATCAGGAGAGTTTCCGGGACGGTAATTTGATTTGTTCATTGGTAAGGCTTGCCAGTATGTTTGTGTTACAATTTTCGTACGCTTGCTTGGAGTAAGGTTCATTGCAGACAATGTCCGTAGGATAACTAATCGACAGTAGAGACAATAGTATATGGTTGGAATAAAAAATCTGAATGCAATCACGGATGACGCAATATTTTTCAAGGCCAAACAAATTTCATCATACACCTCGAAAATAGATTCTTATTACTGCACACCACTACAACTGACCTAATCTGAGGTAAAAAAACAAACAAACAAAAAAAAAAACATAAAAATCTATTACACCCTATCACTCCATTGGGTCTAAAACTGACCGTATGGTGAAAGAAACGAAACTAAAGGTGTTGTTTCAGTTAATTTGCGTGAGTGTGTATAAGGAACGCAATGGTATGCCTTCAAAAAAGTGAATCTCGTTAGAACATCAATTAAAGTGGCATAGGTTAATGTATGTTGTGTTTAATTTCATTATTTCCTATACTAAATTTGTTATATCATATCCGTACATGGAAGTATTTTAAGTATATATATATATATATAAAAGATGCTTTCTTAGAAATCTCGATACAAAGCAAATAGTACATAATACTGTTTCTACTAATCTCAAACATATTAATCTCCCATATCGTAATCAAATGCATACTAATTATAAACGAAATAAAAATATAGTAAAAAATTTAGTAAATACTAATATATCAACAACAGATCTTAGCAAAAAATTAAGTTACTCATATACTACACTAAATCCAATATATCGAACTTAATACTTCGCAATGATTCTTCTCCCCCGGTTAGCGATTTGCAAAAAAAAAAAAAAAAAAATCAACATAATTTCCAAATTCAAGTGCCCTTTGAGAGATTGTATCTCCAACGAATAATATTTATCTTGGTCACACCACAAACTCGCTTTCACGACGCTTGACTCTACATTTGAATGAAAACTCTAACATTTTTAGGCATTTAAAACAATATGCCTGGCCGCACACACAATTCCGTAAAATCCTTATCGAAAACACAAATATACTTAAACATGAAAACAATAAACAAAAACTAAAAATTCTTGAAGCTATATACATAAAACAGTTGAAACCTAACCTAAACAAAATAAACTATGAAATCTCCACAAATATCCTTAACTGTCTATAATTGGTAACCGAAGACATTGGTTTATACCAATGGCTTCCCATACTTAATACTTGCGTCTTATATACACCTGTTTATCGTTGCTTGGAAATCATCCATGTAAACAATAACACACTATCATCACATTCTTGTCCGTGTATTGCTTAATATATTGTACAGTAATTGCCATCTTTGATAATGGCTTATGTAAGCCGAAAGCTTAGATGGGATTAAAAAATATGTATCAATATTGTGATTTTCTTTCTTCGTTTAATGATAATGTTATTAAGCTTTATCAGACCATATGAAAAGAATTTATATAGAGTAAATAGACAACACTTGTCTATATTATTTAATGAAACATATATATATATATATATATATATATATATATATATATATATATATATATATATATGACTTTAAAAATCAGGAGGTCAATTAAAATACGCGGCCTTGGTTTCGACCTGACGGTATCTTCGGGCGACATTTTTAGAAATGACCAGCTTAACGCTTTATTAAAAAGAAAAAAAAAACACGTAAAGAACGCTATAAAATTATTTTTCAAAAATAAATTAACAGAAGCGTGACGATCGCAAAGCATGACATTGAGTGTAAGAGAAAGGAAAGGGGTATGGAGAAGAGAGAAGAAGAAGAAAAGAAGGGCGAAGAAAAGAAAAGGAAAGAAAGGTACGGGATATGTAAGTTTATTGTAAATGAATAGCGTAAAGTAGAAAGAAATCAAATATAACGTCAATGTAAGGAAGGATGGGGAGGCGAGCGTATCTTAAGAATAACAGTGGGGTTTTAAATTAGATTTTTTTTACCCGTCCTCATATTCACTTAATGAAAATCTTCTGATAAGAAGGTAAGGACTTAAATTTTCGGATTTTTGGTTTAAAAGATTGCATCTGGAAATGTTATAATCGCAGATTTCTCATATTGGCATAGTTTGAAAATGTGGGTACAGTTATTATATGTTTTTACCTTTTTAAAAATTTTTCCAGCTGACGACAATATTTTCGACCGTCATGCACCTGTTTATTTATTTTTTAAAAAATAATAATGTAGCCTTCTTAATATATATATATAAAAAAAATAAAGCGTTAAGGTGGTCATTTGAAAAGAATACTGATTGATGATGTAAATTTTATAAATACCTCGCTGACGTAGTTTATCGTCATACCCAGGACGGCGCTTGTCTGAAAGAAGGCCCAGCGATGTTTCAAATGACCACCTTAACGATTTTTTTTTTTTAAAAACTGCATAATTATTTTTTTAAATGAATAAACAGGAACATGACGATTGAAATACACGACGTTGAATGTAACAGAAAGGAAGGGGGTAAATAGAAAAAAGAAGACGAAAAAAAAGAAAGGTGAAGAAAACAAAAGAAAGCAACTGGAATGCAAGTGTATTGTAATGAATACAGAAAAGAAGAAGAAAAGCAAATGTAACATAAATGTAAGGAAGGATGAGGAGGCGAGCGTATCTTAATAATAACAGTGACGTTTTAAAATATAATTTTTTTATCCGGACTCATATTCACTTAATAAAAAAAAAAAATTATTAAGTGAATATGAGGTCTAGTCACTCTATCTAATAGGCCCAGTAGATAAAGACGTTGTGAGTTCAATACCATGCCAGAGTAGTGGCGAACCAAAACTGGGAGAGTTGAGTTAAAAGGGAAATAACTTCGACATCCGTAAGAGGCATGGCACGTGGAACTAGAACAATCTACCCCGGTGGACAAAATAAAGGGTTCGGTTCGAAATTCCAATAACCTGAAGAAGGCCGTAGTGTACAACAGCTGAAATGTTTTTGAATATGGCAATGAAGATGAGGAATAATACAAACAATGCAAGAAGTCCGAATAATATAAATAATGCAAGAAGTTTAGCGGCTATGTCACTTTGAAAAACTAGTTCCTGTATAATCACCGAAGTTAAGCAATGTGGAGCCTGGTCAGTACCTAGATGAATGACGGTTTGGGAATACCACGTGCTGTAAGCTTAGATATGCGGGTGATGTAATGAATAATGTCTCAGAATTTTTAATCGGAGAACGGAGTTCCAATTCCGGTTGGGTTCATTGTTTTCACTTTCGCGAAAATACTCTTAGGAAAGGGAGGAATCCGTGTCTTCTTCCCATCACCAGCTATGTGTAATTTAGTAAGACTTGTATCACGAAGCCATTATTATTGGACAACAATATTCTGACAATTAAAAATATTTTCTAGCTTTAAATAACTTGTAACGGGTGGATAAGCCGTAAAAAATATCAGTCAATCAATCCTCCATCGATGTATTGTTGATTTTTATCCCGATACACTTTATTATTATTATTGTTATTATTATTATTTGTTTTTCGATCTTTTTCGAATTTATTGTCGATTTTTTCACTATTTTCAGTCTATACACTATTCGACCTATCAAACAAACAAACCGGAAACAGAAATAAAGACATTTACCATCTTCCAAGAGAGTCTTTGATGAATTTCTGCCTAGTTCTCTAAAAACGCTTTGATGTATTAAACGTTTTAGAGTTTCTTAAATTTCCAGCTGCAATTCTTTTAGAACAAATCTAAAGTTTGACAGCGAAAACCAAAACAAGTGTTTTTGATGTTTTCTAATGATTTCATCGATTTCTTTTTCGAATGGTGTTCAGGTTAATTATCTAAGTATTCACAATTTGCAGTGAATTTTATATTTTACGCTTTTAATCAGATGTTTATATTGCTTTTTTTTTTTTTTTTTTTTTTTTTTAACTGCGAATGTCTCCGGGAAGACATATACATTTGTAAAATGGCACTAGTATATCTATGATATGAAGGCATCGTATTTCACGGACAGAACAGAATGCCTGAAAGTGAAATCAATCGCAAATATGGTTTATTCTCAGAGAGACCTTTATATCACTAAGACATAGACAAAAACTATATATACATGGTGCGATGAATAAATTGTCGTCTAAATGACGCTACAATTAAAATAATACTGTCATTTCATTTTAAAATATATTTACCAATATTACACAGAAAATATTTTGAAATACTAAATAGTAGACATATTCAATAAAATCGCCATTAGCTTCAACTACTGCCTCCAGACGTCTTCGGAATCACCTGCAACTCTTCTGAACGGTCTCCTTATTTAAATTGGTGACTGCTAGCATAATTCTTGCTTTCACTTCATCTTTTCTGTTACATGAAGTTTGTTGGTTTCTTGCTCAACTGCGCCCCACACAAAATAATCAAAGGCGTTGCAGTCTGGGAGTTAGGTGGCTAGATGTAAGGGGTGATGTGGTCGCAGAAATTGTCCGATAGCCATAACTGCATAGAATGGTTCAGATTCCTGTTTCCAGATATAGGGTCATTCAGCATCCACGCACTTAACTCAGGCCAGCAATACCCACTCAAGGCACTTGATGTTTAAGACTCCAGATTCAAACAAGTGCAGATCCATCTACTTTGTCCCAGGCGAAGATAGAGTTCACAAACGGTAAAACAATGAGTTTGGGGTTTTCCCAAATTGAAGGCTGTGATTTGGAGTTTCTTTCTATATCTGAGAAAGATAATGACGTTTTCTAATGATTACACAATCTCATCGATTTCTTTTTCGAATGGTGTTCAGGTTAATTATCTAAGTATTCACAATTTGCAGGGAATTTTATATTTTACGCTCTTCTTCAGATGTTTATATTCTTTCTTAATTGCGAAAGTCTTCGGGAAGACATACATATCTGTAATATGGCATTAGTATAACTATTTTATAAGCCAGTAGATCACCAATGGAACAGAATGGTTGAAAGAAAAAGGAATGGCAAACATGGTTTGTTCTCAGAGAGGCTTTTATATCACTAAGACATACACAAAAAATATATATACAGCGTGCGATGAATAAATTGTCGTTTTAATGACGCAAATGTGGTAATAACACTGACGTCTCATTTTAAGATATATTTACCAAAATTACACAGAAAAATTTTGAAATCGTATGCTTTTCAGGCACATTCCAAAGATGCAGCACGGTGGGATCGCCCGGCCCCCACCAAAAAAAAAAAAAAAAAAAAACCGATAACATCAGGTATACTTCTTTTTGACAACTCGACCATGGTGAGATTCGAACCCGGGTCTCATTTTCGTAAATCGAACGTTCTAACCACTCGAACACGCCCCCCCCCACACACAAACAAGCGTACGCGCAAAAAACAATTTATTATATATATTTGCACAGAAAAGCAGAGTGTGAGGAGAAACAAAAGGGATTTACATATAATATGGAGATACTCCTGCGTCTGGAGAAGCCATGTTTAGCACTCCAGATTGAAAAAGGCTAGATTTATATACACAGGCGAAGATATTTTCCGCAAACGGTAAAACAGCGAGTCTGGGGTCTTCGCAAATTGTAGACTGTGAGCTGGAGTTTCTTTCTATATCTGGTAAAGATAATGACTTTTTCTAATGATTAAACAATTTCGACCATTTCTTTTTAAAATGGTGTTCAGGTTAATTATCTAAGTATTCACAATTTTTTAATGCTTTTTATATATTACGCTCTTCTTCAGATGTTTGTAATTTTTTGCGAATGTCTCCGGGAAGACATATACATTTGTAAAATAGCATTATTATATCTATGATACAATTACACCGTCGTTGACGAAGGTAACAGAACGCCTGAAAGAAAAAGGAATGGCAAACATGGTTTGCTGTCAGAGAGGCTTTTATATCACAAAGACATACACAAAACTATATATCAAATGCAAATATGTAATCAAATGCATACTAATTATAAACAAGATGAAAACATACTAAAAAATTTAGTAAATTCTAATATATCAACTACAGATCCTAGCAAAAAAATTAAATTAATCATATACTACACTAAATCTAGTATATCCAACTTAATACTTCGCAATGATTCTTCTCCCCAGTTGGCGATTTGCAAAAAAACCAACATAATTTATAAATTCAAGTGCCCTTTGGGAGAGTGTATCTCCAACGAATTAAATAATATTTATGTTGGTCACACCACAAACTCGCTTTCACGACGCTTGACACTACATTTTAATGAAAACTCTAACATTTTTAGGCATTTAAAACAACATGCCTGCCCGCACACACAATTCCGTAAAATACTTGTCGAAAAAACAACTATACTTCGACATGAAAACAATAGACAAAAACTAAAAATACTTGAAGCATTATACATCAAACAGTTAAAACCCAACCTAAACAAAATCAATTATGGCATGTCTACAAATATTCTTAAATGTCTATAATTGGTAACAGAAGCCATTGGTTTATGCCAACGGCTTTCCTTATTTCATTCTACAATTCACTCTCGTGTAGTCATATGTGACGTCATGTGATGCGGTGCGATTTTCGCTTCTAGCGTTTTATATGCGCGTGTTTATCGTTGCTTAGTGATCCACTATGTAAACAATGACAGACTATCATCACTGTCGTGTCCGTATATTGTTTAATATGTTTGTGATTTACATCTTTGATAATGGCTTAAGTAAGCCGAAAGCTTAGATTATATTAAAAAATATGGATCAATATTGTGAATTTCTTTCTTCGTTTAATGATAATGTTATCAAACTTATCAGAAGTTACGAACAAATTTTACATAAAATAAATAGACAACACTTGTCTATATTATTTAATGAAACGTGTATAAATGAAAACTATATATGTATATATACACATTATCCACGCCAAGAATGATATAACACATATACAGTAAACGAAAAAATTATTCGTACACCCATCAATTTTAAATATTTTCATCCATTTCTAATAATCTAATTCTCATATGATGCCAGATTATTATATGTTAATAAGTACAAAATGGAATATAAAACTAAATTTTCAGAAAATTAAGTTAAATACAACAGATTTGACAGGAGAATTATGCAAAATAGGAAAAAAAAAACAAAATTATTCGTATATATTATTTACATTATTCGGACTATTGTCCTCATCTTTGTCGCCATATTTATTACAACGTTTCGGCCGTTGTACGCACCGGCCTTCTTCAGGTGGTTGGAATGTCGAACTTAACCCTTTATTTAACTCACTCGGGTAGACTGTTCTAGTCTTCCAGGACGCATGGCACAGTGAATAAAGGCGTTGGTTACATCCAGTGACAGGACACAGTGTGAGTTCAATACCTCGTTAAGGCGGTGGAGAACTTGGCGAGGGGAATTAACAGGAGATAACTGATAAAATGACATCCATTAGACATAGCAAAAAAGCAATTTACTTTGTCCAAAACGTTATGGCAAAATGAAACCGAGCATACAACCCATTTCTATTTAAACAACGTTTTACGCTGATACCCATCGTATCCAAACTTTTGGCAATGTCTTTCAAAACAAGTCTTGGGTTTATGTTAATTTTAGTTTTCGTGCATTTCTCGGTGACAATTTGTTTTTTTTCCACGCCCAGATAAATTCTCTGTAATGTCAAACTGTTTAACCTTCTTTATAACGGACTGTGCCGTAGATCTAAGGACAGCTAACCGGTTTGAAATAGCGCTGTAACTACTTCCTGACTTGTGGAATTTAATAATTCACAGCTTCAAGTCAACGGTAAACTCCATCGTCTTCCCCATCGGTTTGTTAACGTAATAATTACAACGGTGATACTCAGTACCTCACTTAATGTTCTTTGTTCGAATTATCACAAATATTCTACTGAATAAATAGTCTAGAAGACATCACCATTAAAATAAATATGTAAATTCCTCTGACACGAATCAATCAATTTAAATCGATATTTTCTACTGTACGAATGATTTTGTCTTTTCTTATTTTGCATAATTCGCCTGTCAAATTTGTTGTATTTTAGTTCTGAAAATTGAGTTTTATATTCCTTTTTAGTGCTGCATAACAAATGAATAAATCTGGCATCATGCGGGCATTAGATTGTGAGAAATGGATAAAAATATCCAAAATTGATGTGTGTACAAATAATTTCTCTTCTCTACTATTCTTTTCTGATATATA